TTATACAATTTAGACGATTGAATGTAAGGGGATGTGATATGTCACGCTGACAAACAAAGATTATAAGGGTATATTTGATGGGAGTTCAAAGAAATATTTAAGAAGTATTTGGAAGGAGGCACCGTACAGTCATCACTTTTTTAAAACAAGATAATGTTACAAAATGACATTGACAGCTGCTAAAAAAAGAGAAAGAATTAAGCGCAAGCTAAGGGCCCGCTAGGTAACCTCTTCAATTTTATTTGTATTTAGCGTTTTAATGTTAGAGATAAAGAGAGAATATATGGAAGAAATGGTGGGATGAAGAAAGGTTTGGCAAAAAAAAAAAAAGAAGGGTAAATAAAAGATGATTGTGTAACAACTACACTGAATAATTACTCGTTTTAAAAGCCAATTTTGTATGTGGATTATGTGAGAATGTGAAGGTGTTGGGCTACTTTCCCCCATTGCCAATTGGTTTTGGGGTGGAACCTCAACTTCCTTTAGACTAGTCTCATGTCTTTCGTAGTTTAAATTTAGGTTGAAATTGACTTTTGAAACTAAATAAGTAGAAGTGACAAATATGAATTTTTTTTCAAGTAAGCCTACCTAAAGAGTCACAATAATAAGTCTCCACTTTTATTTTTTGAAATTTCAATACAAATATGATATATGTCAGGTATATAAGAAAAACTTACATGAAATTGGCACGTACACTCATTCTCTATATTTCATTCACAAGGAAAATATACATCTGTGATAGCTAAGTTTTTTTCTTTCATTATATACAGATATATAACAGAGAGTTTTAGTTGAAGGATTCCTCGAATAAGTTTATTTGAGGGACACCCTAGTATGCCCCACTATGCATTGTATTTCACTAATTCGAACAATCTAATTTTTAGATATTCCCTCAAAGATTATCTCTGCAAAAAGAAATCAATTAGATCCGAAACCATTTGACCACTCAATTAAATCATTGTTGTTATAGTCTTTAATTGAAGCAATGTGTTCGTCTATTTTGTTGATCCGAATTAGATGCTTTAATGATTTTCAATTTGCATGATTATTTACAATAATATATATTATAGACAATCAAAAGTGTGATTAGGTAAAATGTCACTGAAAAGTGTGGTCCTCAATTTCTAAAGGTAACATACGATATCTAACAAGAATATGTATTAATTATATGCATATTTTTAGTATTTTCAAAACATTTCATTTTGTGGTCCTCATTTAATTATTGTTTGTCTATTTGCGTGTTAATTATTATTATTTTCGTCACAGATAAGTTGTCACCATATTCAATATTTGAGGCAGTATATAATAACTAAAAAAGAATGAAGTTAGGCATTGTTAAATGCTAGGCGTACTAATCATATAACAATATATACTGGAATTGAAAATGAAACAAATTCAGAATATTGATGGTCCATACATACATCACTACAAATCGGCAGGTCTACAGCAAAAAATCTCAAGTTGCATGCGTGCATGAAACAGCTGGGGAAGGCAATTATCAGAAGAGATGATGCTTGGCAAATACAAAATCACTAATTTAAATTTGTACAATGAGTTACCTTTTTATATCCAATTCGTTTTAGTAAAATTTAATTTTTTAGTTAACGAGGTCTAGTCTAGTGGCAATGGGCATTGATTTGCAAATTAGAAGTCTCCGGTTCGAATCCCTACGGCATCATAGTTGTGTGTGTGTGTGTGTGAGAGAAGTCCCATCTCCCTTATAGTTTAGACTATTGCTTGTACTAAAAATAAAAAATAAAAAGTATTAAAATCTAAAGAAAAAAAAATCATATATACATTTATGTAAAAACAGTCATAGATGCCAATGCGGGGTTACCACAGTGACTGTGGCCCTCCTCGTTTCCCTGCTTGACAAGCAGGATTGAAACTCTGTAATCACTGTATTTCACGAGGAAAAAGAAAAAGAAAAAGAAGAAGCCATGGCTGGCCTACTGGGGCCACAAGCCCATCCTAGGGAAGTAATTTTAGAAATTTGAGGCCGAGCCCAAGTATCCTTGGACCAGCTCTGCTATCTTTTGCAGCTATGGGCCGATATGTACTCAACTCAAGGTGTGCATCATCTTCCATAAGGCCGACAATTAGACCCCGCAAACTACACCGAAGAATGTCAGATCAAGCCTGATGGGGTGAGTTCTTGAATATAAGCGGTAATTTAAACTACAAGAGGGTGAGTCAGTGTTCATTCACAAAAAAACGTTACTTTGGTTCTTTTTTCTTTTTTTAAACATCTTTCAGTCTACTACTCATTCTTCTTATGTGTGAATTTTGGGAAATATTTTTGGGCATTTTCTATGCAATGTGTTTGAAATAGTTTTATCGTATTATTTCTTTATGATTGTTTGGTAATATTTATTATACTTTACCGTTCTAGAACGGGGGTAAACGGATGACACACAACACAACACGCAAAATTAACAAATAAATTTAAGTTCAAATATTTGGACACTGAAAATTAATGGATCGACAAAGTGATTAAATTGATCAACAACACAGTTTTGCTTCCTAGTGATTTTGCCAAATAGCATAGAATCATATATATACTTTAGGAGGTGATGATATTTAATGAATTATATCATTGCTCATGTTAAAGAAAATTTATATATAACTTGTAGATCATACTTCTAAGTTCTAACAAAAAAAAAAAAAAAAAAAAGAAGAAAAGAAAAAGCGGCCATTCTTGTTAAGATGATCAACCAGTCCAAAACATCATGACTAGTACCCGGTTGTTGTCGGAGAAAGTCTCTACGTATGATGACTTGAGAACAAAAGTCGTTGTAGTATAGTGGTAAGTATTTCCGCCTGTCACGCGGATGACCCGGGTTCGATCCCCGGCAACGGCGCACCTTTTATTATTATTTTTGGCTTGTTTAGTTTCGAAAATTTTACTCTTTTGCCGACAACCTCGTTAATTATAAAAAATGGATAAAAAGGAAACACCGTGTGTATATTAGAAAACAAAATATGTGAATTTGGCAAACTGCCACTTTTAGCTAGCGGACTGCCTGGTGCCTAACTGGCAGGGGTTCGAAAGCACTTTGTGATTAGGGCAAGCCGAATCCCAATTGGGAATTAATCCCACTATTCGGGTGTGGGGACACCTCATAGTATTTAACCAAAAAAAAATGGGGGCGGGCTGGGGGTTCATATAAAAGTACAGATAAATGAACCATATATAACATCATACATTATTACAATATTGCCACATTATCATATAAAGAAAGAAAGAGATTTATTGAAATTGTAATGTGCCAAGCTAAGTAGACAAGGCCAGGTCATGGACCACAGTAAGCCTTCAAAGCAGAGGGAGCTCTCTTGCCAGCATCTGAATTACAGAAGTAAGACAAGAAATCAAGCTTTGAACGTGGATACAATTTTTGTAAGGGTAAAACCGTCAATTTGGATACAATTTTTCTCTGAACAACGAAATGTTACAGAAATACTAAATTGAACATGTGCGAAAGTTGGAGGACCAACACAACTCAAAAAAGAGTTGGATGACCAAAATAAAATTTCGGTATAAGTTCAAGGATCATCAGGGTTCAAATCCCACCCTGCATGTAAATGGAACTCGGAGGAGGTAAAACAACTCACGTAGAGTAGGTCTCCGATCATGGCAATGAAATAGTCCGGTGAAGGCTTCACATTGATCCATTTGCCATCTTTGGTTTGTACTTCTAACCCGTCAACTTGGTTTTGGTACAAAATGGTGACAATGTTCTTATCTGTGTGAGCGGGTAGTCTTAACTTAGTCTCGTTGGTTTGAGGCCCCTTATATTTGATCATTCGTAGAAGGTTTGGTAGATTCTAGGTGTTCCTCGAAGTACTTTTCAAGCCCCAAGATCTCCAGAATCATCCTCCTGATGATCTGATCCAACTCCGAAACTTGCTATGAGAAGGATTGTACAGTTTTGCCGCCACAAAAATATAAAAGTTATAAACCTTTGAACTTGTTCATAGATGTTGTTAATTTGAATTAAGGGTTTATGAACCAGAAGCTTGGGTATCAAGCTTTGAACTTGTTCATAGACGTTGACATCAATATAGTGCCACCATGGGGTGCCCAACATAGCCAAGGTAGGGTTTTTTTGGAAACATTCTGCAATTTGGTTTGTAAAGGGAGGTTGAAAAGTTCTTCCATTGGTTGAAATATGGACTTTCGAATGTGTTGAGGGACTTTGTAAAACAAAGCCTCGAAGCAACCATACTCTTCCAGTGCATTGTAGTTGTGGACTTGGGTTCTCACTATTTTGGAGCCTAGAGTGAGGGCTTGCTTAGAAAAATCTGTGATGGGAAGCTTGAGAGGGGTTTCTGATGAGCCCATAGTGATATGCTGGTTTTGGTTGATAGAAATGGAAAGAGGAAGCTCCTTTGAGTTGAGTTTTGGAGAGTTGACTAGGCCTATTTATATAATTGATTTAGACGATTAAATGTAGGGGAAATGTGATATGTCACGCTGACAAACAAATATTAATAATATTATTAGCTAAATATTAATAATAAAAATTCAAGATGGAAGAACCACAATCATCACTTTTTTAAAACAACATAATGCTGCAAACAACTGCAAAAAGATTCATGCCTTTGAGTAAAGGGAGGAACCAAGCGTAGGCTAAGAGCCCGCTTGGTAATCTCTCTGTTTTTTATTTTTAGTTGTTAATTTTTTTTTAGTACAAGTGATAGTCTAAACTAGAGGGGGAGGGAGATTTCTCTCACATACACACTACCAAAGTGTTATGAGGGTTCGAACCTGAGACCTCCAGTCGACAAGCAAAGACTCTTTTTCACTGGGCTATACCGTTGACTTAGTTGTCATTTTTATGTTAGAGATATACATTGTTAAATGTTAGAGCTATTAATGAATGAGCGTGGACAATATAAATACTGGAACTGAATGGAAACATATTCAGATATAATCTACTCTGATTAGGACCATATGCCTAGAATATTGATGGTCCATATACATGACACAAAGAAAATGGTAAGAGGAATTGCAAAGCACATGGAGTATTTAAACATTAAGGAGAAGACAGAGTGGCCAGTGGCCACAAAGAAAATGGTAAGAGGAGAGTTGATAGTCAACCATATAGATAACATAATACAATAGATGCATTATTACAATTTTGCCACTTATTATACAAAGAGAGATTTATTGAAATTGTAATTTGCCAACCTAAGTAGACAAGGTCAAGTCTTGGACACCACAGTAAGTCTTCAAAGCAGAGGGACCTCTCTGGCCAGCCTCTGAATTACAGAACGCAATAAATTGAGCATGTTCATAGGGCTTAAAAAGCAAAGGGTGCTCTTCATCCACAACCTCGTCTGGGGCTTTTATTATGTACCCTTCCTTAGGGGCGGAGAACAATCCAGTTGAGTACCTAGCCTCATTTCCATTCATCATAACCCTATGAATGGGAGGATGCAGCCTACCATTTGTCCATGCCTACAACATTACCATAATATGAACGTTAATTTCTAAAGGATTTAATGTGCATGTAAATCGAATCGGAAGGAAGCCAAGCAACTCACGTGGAGTGACTCGCCGATCAAGGCGATGAAAGAGTCTGATGAAGGCTTGACATTGATCCATTTGCCATCTTTGGTTTGCACTTCTAACCCATCGACTTGGTTTTGGTACAAAATGGTGACAATGTTCTTGTCTGTGTGAGGGGGTATCCCTAACTTAGTCTCGTTGGTTTGAGGCGCCTTATATTTCATCACTCGAAGAAGGTAGTCGGTCGAGTTTAGGTGTTCCTCCAAGTACTTCTCAAGGCCCAAGCTCTCCAGAATCATCCTCCTGATGATCTGATCCAATTCCGAAACTTTCTCCGTGAAGGATTGTATAGTTTTGCTGCCACAAAAATATAAAAGTTATGAACACCAAATATTAGATTATGAAATTAACGCTAATTAATATTCTCATACCAGAAATCTGATATGTATTGTTTTGGCGTATTGCTAATTTGAATTATATATGGTAGACATCCTAGTAAAATAACATGTCAGATTGTCTTATAAGATCATAACATTTTCCCTATGAAATTAATACGCAATACGACTACGAAATTGTTAATTAGGAGGAAGAGTTAAGGTTATGAACCAGAAGCTTGGGTTTCCTTGAGGCCACAAGGTGTTTGTCAAGCTTTGAACTTGTTCATAGACGTTGGCACCATCAATCCCCATGCTCTCATATAGTGGCATCACGGGGGACTGCCCGGCATAGCCACGGTAAGGTTTTCTCGAAACATTTTTTAATTTGGTTTGCAAAGGGAGGTCGAGAAGCTCTTCAATTGATTGAAATATGGACTTTCGAATGTGTGAAGGGACTTTGGTGAACAATGCCTCGAAGCAACCATACTCTTCGAGTGCATTGTGGACTTGAGCTCTCACTGTGTTCCACTCTGTGGTGCCTGGAGTTAGGCTTTGGTTGGAGAAATCTATGACGGGAAGTCTGAGAGGGGTTTCTGAGCCCATTGTGATATGCTGGTTTGGTTGATAGAGAGGGAAAAGGAAGCTGTTTTGCCTTGAGTTTTAGATGAGCTTTCTCGACTTATTTGGCCTATTTATACAATTTAGACGATTGAAATGTAAGGGGATGTGATATGTCACGCTGACAAAGAAAGATTAATAATATAATTTCCATGTGTACGTTGCAATAGATGAATATTGAATTTACAAAAGTTTTGAATCCATGTCATCAAACCCTTTCCGTTGAGTTTTGGTTCGAAGAATGATAATTTTATGCGAGAATTTTCTCCAAAATAACAAAGTTAGCCTTTGAGATTAGCTTGCACATAAACTTATTGAGGTTAATTTTTTCATTTGCCTAGGCCTTTTTAATATGAAATCATGGTGGCCACATGGTCTGCTTACATGGCCACACAGTTGGTTGGGTTGACCTCAATTGATAAGAGGAAGGATGTGGAATGCATCCAATGTGCACTAACGAAAATGAATCTATATCTTTTTTAAAAAAAAAATTAAGAAAATAGATCTATATCTAAGAACCCCTTTTTAAAATAACATGTTGATAAAGTCAAATACACGCCTTTGAGGAGGAACTAAGCGTAGGTTAAGGGCCCGTTTGGTCCTCTCCATTTTTTTTAGTTGTCATTTTTATGTTAGAGAAATATATTTTTAAATGAATGAAAGTGGACTATTGTAATTGAAAACGAAACAAATTCAGATTTAATCTTCTCTGATTTAAGACCATGCCTAGAATATTGATGGTTTATATACATGTCACCGGTACAAAGTTGACTCTAACTTAACTATTTATTTCCAACAGTGTGAGAGAAAGCTCAATATTGGACTCATTAGATGAGAGGTTTTGTCACAAAGTGCCTCTATACTATTAATAGTGAGATATTACCTGAGTGATTCTCGAATCATTTTTTCCAAATGGGATTAAATTTACTGCAAATCATGGCTTGAGGCCAACAACCCCAACGTATATATTGTACAATTTTTTTGGCCACTTCTGTTAGATCAATAACGAAGAAACAAAAGTGACGTTTGTCATGGAGATGCTGTTGAGATTGTAGCATCCCTTCTTTTATGGGTATATATTCACTATTAAACTTTTTTTCTTTTGGGCAATTCTTGCTGCATCTGGGCACTGATTGACATCATCGTGAGCGTTGAATCCTGCTTTGATACCAACTAATGCAACAGCGCTCGAGCAAGGGTTTTTGGGAACACGAAACACAAACCATCAAGCTCTGTTTAGTCTAAGAATACCCGGAACTAGGCACAAAAGATAAGATAAAACACTCAAACCTGTTAATTATAAGAATACCCAGATTATGAGCAAAAGATGAGAAAATACTCTTTAATTTCAATTTCAATTTTCAACAACTCCTTTGAGAAGTTTGAGCATACAGTATTTAAAGACTTAATCTCTCATCCGATATATTGAACTAGCATCTAAATTAAATAACCCCATTAATCCAAATACATTAAGCCCATTCAAATAATGACGACTCTAGCTATTCCAAATACATGGAACTTATTAAGAGCCAAATAAATCTAGTTATTCCACATACATGGAATATATTAAGAGCCAAAACACGTTCATGCATTTTATTAATGCCTTCGATCCCAATGGTCCATAAACTTTAATGCCTCGTTGCCTGCATCAGAACCCATGAGTACAAACTTGCCTTAGAAAGAGCTACACTTTAATTTTGTTTATTTATTCAGCACAAGGAGAGAAGAACTGCGTCAACAACCTTCAAATTCCCACTTTGCCAGGAGAAGAATGCCAGGGAATACCTGGTTTTGTTCTCTTTCATGATGACTTGGTGTTCACAAGAGCGTACTCTGTCGTTACTCCATGCCTAGAACAAAGAAATAAAAAAGAGAAAAAGCAAAAGAGTCATTGAGGCATATAATTGGGGTTGAAATTGAAGCTTATTATTTTTATAAAAAATCAATTATACAGCATCTGTGACAAACACAACTGAGTCATTTCATAAGTCGGCTCCGTTTGAATGGAGGCATTTGAAAGAAAGAATTTGGATTTGACCATAGGGCTAAATTTGCTAAACAAAAACTAGAAATCATTAGATTGAATGCATTTGAAATAACGAGATAATTTGGAATCCATTTGTTTTTTTCTTTCATTTCCTTATTACTTCAAATCTAGCATACATGAATTAGAGTAGTGCAATTTTACAATTTTACCTTATAATGGCATCTAAAACCTTTAGATTTATATTTTCAATCACTCCATCCAAATGGGGCTTCTAATTCTTTTGGCACAAATTTGAACCCTTTAAGTCAATAATATCTGAAGTTTATCTCAAAATTATGGAAGGACTGATAACAATCCAAGCTAGAACTACATAAAATGTGAAACTGACGTACCATGAATGGATCGCCGGCCATGAAGAGAAAAGTTGAAGGTGAAAGATCCACATCAATCCACTGACCATCCTTTGTTTTTATCTGCAAACCATTGACCTGATTTTCATGAAGAATGGATGTAAAATTCTTATCTGTGTGAGCAGCCGCTCCCAAATTAGTCTCATTCATTTCTGTGTTCTATATTTAGTGCATCTAAGCAGGTATGTGGTTGATGCCATGTGAGAGTCATAAAGCCTCTCCACGCCATAAATGTCAAACACCATTCTTGTCACCATTTGATCCAATTCTGCCACCAGCTTGGAGTAGGAATGAGCACTTTCACTAATTCAAACAACAAAGAGTTACATCAAGTTAGGCACAATATGTATGTGTTTGTGTGGGGCGGAATTGTTTTACCGTTAGACTGTTATGTTGTTAGACTGTGAACTGGACCATTTACCAAAATGTGTGTCCACATTCATTTTCTCAACATAAATACAAATTTAAAATGAGTTACCAATATCAAACTATATATACCAAAAAGGGTCATTTCCTGCAGGCCACATGATTCTTGTGAAGTCTTGAGCTCCTTCTAGAGTTGTTGGATTATCCACCGCCAAGGATTCATAGAGTGGAATGTACGAACGTTGGCCAATATAACTGTGGCAAGGCTTATCACTGATCTTCTGCATTTTAGTTTCTAGGGGAAGATCAAACAGATCTTCAACCACAGCAAAAATGGAGTTGTGAAGTTCCAAAGGAACTTTATGATAAACAACTTCAAAGCAGCCATACTCTTCTAGGGCATACTTGACTTGTTTGCACGCCAAGAGCCATGCCTCTGTTCCAGGCTTCAAGTCTTCACTTGATAAATCCACCACAGGAACCTTTGCCTGAGTCTCTGATCCCTTTCTGTCAGAAATCACTATTAGCTAATGAGACAATTGGGGCATACTAAGCTTACACAAATTCAGCTATAAAATGATAAAATCTCAGTTGCTGGCGCTTGTTTTACATGGACAAGTGGGAAAATGGTATCTTGTAATTGTGTGCAGGTAAAGTCAACATATATACTAATCCAAAATTGTTTAGTGATTTAACACTAATAATTTGTTTATTCATTATTGAATTCGAAAAGTGGCAATCATCTCTAATTATTAATATTCATATCTAATCAGTGGCGTAGCCAGGAATTCTCTCAAGGAGGGTCAACATTATTAGCCAAGATAAATGGAAAAGCCATACCACCACCAAACTTGGACTAGGATGGTTTAGAGGAGAAGAAAAATGCATACAAGGATGTGCCATGAGAATAAAACTATGAGATAATAGATTAATAACCTAAAATCTTAAGTATCCATTGTTTTTCTACATAAATATTTTAGAATAAGTTCAATTATATAAGAAAACTTTGATGGTTGTTGTTCCAAAAATATTTAATGGGTTTTAAGACAATTTTGGAAGATGTTGCTAATTAAACTGAACATGAATAAAAACACTTACGTGGTAGAAGGTCAAACCAGTTGCTCTACCACCCACTTCCATATGCTTCATCAAGGGTGGAATCAAGAATTTTTCAACGGGTGGGCTAGCTAAAGTTATTAGCTTAAAATTTAGTGATTATTTTTTTTGGTACATACTTACAATTTCTATAGTCTTTGTAGAAATAAAAGTAAACATTAAATCATATAAACCACGCTAGTTCATAGCTCCATAAACTAATTTTCAATAAGTTTTAACATAAACCAAATAGGGTTTAACATTATAGTGGATTAGGCTTTTTACCTAGATTGACCTTAGTTCCTTCATGCATTCATATCATACATGAAAAATTGTTTTATGTAAAAATATTGACTAAGTATGAAAAATGGGTTTTTGGAATAATCATTTTCTGAAGATAATTTTTGGCGGCTTTTATTCCTCACACATCAAATAAGAAAACTTGATTTTATGGGATTTTAGTATGAAGTATATATTGACTTAATGAGCCATCATTTTTAGCCTAAATCTTATTTTACACTAAAACCGATTTTTCATATTTTGATTTGGTGGGAATTTGATTTTCTAGTATTTTTATTTGAATCCAAATGGGGGGTACTTCCTTATTTACATTGTAAACTTAAGTAAATGGAGTAATATAAAAATAAATAAAAGTATAAGGGTCATATGACCCTCCTAGGCCTTGAAAGTGGAAATAAGGTAATATGTACACTGTTACCATTGGGTCATAAGGGTCATATGACCCTCCTAGGCCTTAATTGGCTTCGCCCCTGTATCTAATCAGTGAAGTCGAACACATGAATCATGATCTACTCACTAAGGGTAATTGAACACTAGAAAATCTAGAGTACATAAAAATGCTAGGTCAAGATGTGGACAATAATTCAAATTAAGCATCCATCTACTAGTCCTAGATATGTAGAATGCAAAGAATTAAAAATAGGGATTTTTGTAGAAATGTCACCTGGACTTATACATCAGTTTCAATTTTGTCACCTTAAAGAAAAATTTAAGCAAAATGTCACCTTAAGTTTAAAAAATCCATGATTTGTCACCTGACTCTAACATCATCCAATTTTCCATCCATTTTGAAAGGTATTTTAGTCTTTCCAATATGTAAACCCACTTTTTTATATAATTTAAATATAAAGCTATGTAAACCCTCTTGCTT